ACCAATCGCGGACAAAGCGATTCACAAGTGAGGCTTAATTAGGTCTGGGCAGAATTAGCTTTAGAGAGTGTTTTTAACAATTGTTGATCGAAGCAGAAACTGTAATTTTTATCTTTGTTGGACCTGCGTCCTGAGTTTTAACTGTTTAAAACTCTTGTTGTTGTTTCGGACCGCTGCGTCCTGTATGTGTTTAGTGTAACAGCGTTATAACCGGGTATTACTCCTCTGATCAGAAAGGCCAGTGTAAGCTGTATTAACCTGAATTCGGCTATTGGTTTGTTTCTGTGAATGAAGGGAATTACTCCGAGTTGTGACGCGGGAGTCGGACTGTGATCCGGCCTCTTCAGGCACGCATTTCTCTTTTATTCTCTTTTATTTCCCCTTCTACGAACACACACACACACACACACACACACACACACACACACACACGCACAGAGATCTATACACTCGCGGCTATCCAGACCCCTCAGAGACACAGATCGTGTAGGGCCGAACTCAGTCTCTTTTAGACCTTAAGGCCACATTTAGGCCTTTGTTAGGTGTGTGCCATCGGAAGGGCGACCACGTGGGTACGAAGCCATCTCCCCCCCTTTCTTCTCCCCCCCCCCCCCTCTCTCTCTCTCTCTCTCTCTCTCACACACACACACACACACACACACACACACGCACACACTTACATTCACACCCCTTCCACAAGCCTTTGCTTGATAATGTTTGTTGCTTAGATTAGTTTATAATAGTTATTTGTTTAATTAAGTTCATTGATTTTGGATTGATGTTGCTTTGTTTAAATAAATTCTGTTATAATTTAAGAGAGCAGTTGTTTGTGGTTACTGGTGTATTTGCATTGTGATATAAGCTGGGTGCGAAGGCTTTGTGTACGGATTTCACGCCTTCATTAAATTTAGTTATTCATTATTAATAATATTAGTAATTAAAGAACTAATTTGAGACTGATTTGAGTGATATTTTGGTTATATTTACCTGATTACAGGTTGGTGCCCCAAAACGAGATTAAACATAGTTTAATGATATTTTATTTATATTATTAATAATTAAGTATAATTATTAAAGAATATAACCAAAGTTGACTTAATACAACCCCAACAATCTGGTCTGCAAATCTTTTTTTCTAAATGTAAGTGTTGAAAAACGGGGGTCGTCTTATAATCAGGGTCGTCTTATATTCGGACCAATACGGTATTTGCCACTGAAATTTTCCAGAAAGCCTCCAATGTTGTGTGAGCCCAGGTTGTCTCCACCAATGGCTTGCAAGATTCCTTTGTATTTCTGTCCATTGGTTTCAAGGTCTTGAAGGTCTTTCATCAAGCATCCCATGACCAAATCCTGACTCAAATACTCAAAATCATTTTCTCTACAGAGAAGAACAAATTGCATCTGGTCGATACTTGACCGGTTGTGTGGCAAAAGGTCTGCAAGTGTGAGATACATGGCCAGTATTTTATGTTTCTTTTTTCCTGACCCCAGTGGGTGTACAATTTTGAATAATCTTGATAAAGTATCAAGCCTAAAGATGACCTCTCTGTCTCTGTCATGTTGTTTCCGATGTTTTCACCTTCCCACACATCTTGTAAAATATCATCCGACTGGATACGGCTGTGTACTTCGCTATATTGTTCCATCACTGACTTGCATTGAAAAACGGCTTCAATTGTCTGTTTTATATGGACACACTGAGCAAAACACTCTTTACCAGCTTCATTCTGTCCTAGACAAGCAGGCAAAGGTCCAACATAATTAAAGCTCTTCTTGTACCATGTTTTTCTGCGCTGGTCCATTTTTAATGTGCGGCTATTGCATGCCCAGAAGAGATCACCTGCTTTCAGTTCATCAATGATGTCATTAATGGAAGCCTCTGGAACCCCAAGTGCAACTAACTTCTCATTAAGTTTAAAAAGTAAGTGTGATTGGTTGACATCGTGAATTGACTCTATGTCTTCAATGATTGTCTGAATGACAGAGGATGGAAGCAGTGATTTAGCCTGTAGCTTCAAATAAAACAGAGCGAGATTCCTTCACAATAAGGTCTCATAGATATTCTCTGGACCAACCTCAAAATCCTCTTCCTCATCTATATGTTGTTCTGATGTCATCATATCACCATCATTGTTTTGAGAGGTTTCAGCTTCAGTCTCCTGTGCCGTGGCAACAATGGGATTAATAAGGTTTGCCTCTGTTGAATGTTTGTGCTTTCTTGATAAGTAGGATGTAAATGATGATATTACAGTGAAAGTCTTGTCACACTGATTAAAGGTGCATGCCACTGTTCGTCCCTCTTTAATGTGCACTCTCAGATGGGAATACAACTGACTCACTGTATCACATTTTGCACTACACAAATCAACATGGCATTTTAGAGGCTGTGTTTCTCCTCCTGTTTGTCGAACCTTGTTGTCATCTGCTGGTGGGCACCTTACATCTACACAGCCGACACGTTTGCTTGTAGGTGTGGCTGTCCGTTAGTGTCTGCACGCGGCGCATGGAACGGATTGTGTGTGTGTATGTGAGTCTGATCGGCATCTAATCGGCATTAGACCGGCCGGTCACGGGTCAGGGCCGAGCAGGCTAAAAACATGTCAATCTCCCCTGAGTTACATAGCGCCCATCTGTCAATTATGTCAGCTATACGCGCCTTACTCTGGATTACATATCGTTCACACAATCCAAACGGAGCCATTAAAAAAACATTCAGCCCTGTACAGTGCGTGCCCGTGATGACAATAACTAATCAGACCTATTCAGTTTTATTTTACAAGGCTATGAACAACACGCACAATAAATGCTGCGAGAACGGCCTTTTTGGAGGTGACTGCTTTTTATTAATATGTCTCAACGCATTGCAGACCCATATAACAACCCCTACCAACGCTTGAAATTATAAGAAAATGTTTTGTGGGGTTTTCCCATTTAGCAATTGTTAAGATCAAGCTAATGGTAGCTGGCAAATAATTTACTCACTGTGTGTGCCTGCAGTGTTTGTGTGTCATTTCAAACTCTAGCTAATGCTAATCTTACAAATGACTTCAAACTTAGTAAGTGATGGTTTTTGCCTATTCTAACTACCTAACACTCACCTGTTTATTGTCAGGATGGAGATGGGTAACAATCTGACTTCCAACTCCACTGTCCTCCCAACCATTTGGTCTCACCTTCTTGTTCCCAACATGCATTGCAAAAAATACGAGAAATTACTGTTTACTTTCCTTCAAGCAATAATACAGTAAAATATTGTTATAAACCTTTATAATACAGGGTTGTCCTGTATTTAAACATAATAGGATTTTACAGTTGAAAATTCCTTGTAAATTTACAGCAATTCGTTAGAGTGTAGAGTTATTTTCACAGCACACATGTATATGAAAGTCCCCACAAATTAAAATAGAGTCATAATCCAGCACGATACCCGCTGGAAAGTAAAAAGTCAGCAAACTCATGTATGAAATGTTTGTTGTATTTCGGTGGACGGTACACGGGAGAGGAGAGGTTTCAAAGAGCTGCAACTCAAAGCTTGTGTATGTGACCGGTCTATTCAAGCGACAATGAAAAGCAGATTTCATTACAGTAGCTAGCCCTCCACCTCGGCCAGAAGTACGAGGAGAGCTGAAAAATGTACAATCAGGAGGGAGAAGCTCTGAGAAGGATGTGGACTCACCAACTTGTAGCCAGGTCTGTCAGGAACATAACATCCAGCTCACGGCATGTGAAAAAATCATTCAGCACAAACGTTTTGTTGGCTACAGATCTAGCATTAATAACAGCCATCTGAAGATTTAAATCCACACAGCCCCGGTTAGGAGCACGGCACAATGGGCGGGTTAGGGTTAGCACTTCGTATGCACAAGATCCATGAAACAGCTGGCAGGCCCCAGCTGTGAGGAGGACGCCGCGCTGTAGTTAGTGGATCAGTGAAGTCAGGCTGGCAGGGTGGAGGCTCGCAACTATCGGGCCATGCACAGCAGCCTTCAGGCCGGGATAGATAGGCTGGATCCATCGTGGGCTCAGGACAACAGGAAAGTGGCGGTGGAAGCCACGGGAGCCATCATCATCATGGAAGCGAAGAGGATCAACATCTGAAGATTTCAGGTGAGCCTTGTGTCGAACTAGCACTCCTGTGCGCTTTCTACGAGGAAGCCCGCACGGTAGACGGCGCAGGTAAGGCGGGATGTTTGAGGTGGAAGGCTCCTTGTGTGTTCTCCCAAAGTGCCTCTTGACAGATACAGTTCCTTCCAAGAGACTTGGATGTTGAGTAGAGCTTGGCGATCATAAACCAGGAGAGCAGTTATATCCCATTTAAATAACAGAGCAGCAAACAGAAGGCAGACTGGCCGAACATACTGAGACTTCAGATTCTTCCTTTCCTTACCTCCTTACCTCCTTACTTCCTTACCTTCCTGCTTCCTCTTCCTACCTCCCTCCTTCATTTGTTATCCTTTAAAGTTTCACCTCCTTCCCTCCTTCTTTGTCTCCTCCTCTCCTTCCTATCTTCTCTGCCTCTTCATCTCCTTTTGTACCTCCTTGTCTCCTTTACTTCCTCTCTACTACTTTACATAATCTACACCTCTACCTCCTCTTCTTTTCCTACTTATGTCCTTCTCTACCTCCTTATGTCATTCCCTGTCTCCTTATCTCCCTCTCTGCCTCTTCATGTCCTCTTCCTCCTTATATCCTTTCTTCCCTACTTGTCTCCTTCTCTGCCTCTTCATGTCCTCTTCCTCCTTATCTCCTTCTCTTCCTTCTTATATCCTTTCTTCCATACTCATGTCCTTCTCTGCCTCCTTAGCTCCTCTGCCTCCATATCTCCTTCTCTTCCTACTCATGTCCTTCTCTGCCTCCTTGTCTCCTTCTCTGCCTCCTTATCTCCTTCTCCCCCTCCTCCTTCCTCACCTGTTCCTCCAGCAGTTGTTATTTGTGATTAAATCGAGGCAGCCGATTGGCTGATTGCTGTGTCTGTTGGACCAATGAGAGAGGCGGGTGACTGTGACTGAGAAAGTGTTTTATTCTTCACAAACATGAACACACAAACACGTGACAGCAGGTGTTTCCATGGCAACCCGGGCCCAATGTTGGGCCAGTCGATGACGGATGAGAAGAAAGTAAATTTAATGATGTTTGATCAGAGAGTCTGCAAGTGAGAAATCATTCAAAGGCCCCACCCCTTAGTTACTGTTGCTAACGTGTCAATCTGTGTATTATGGGATGTCACATGAACAGAGATTCAAATAAAGATTAAACTTCACTTTGTAAACAACCTGTTTCATTTGTTTCTAAATAAAATCCTCCCGTCTTGTCAATGGTGTGTTCAAGTCCCCTTGGAACAGGCAGCTTTCTGCACATCTGCTGGAGAGCACGATGACATCACCACAGGTAACCTTTAATTACCCATCATCCTTTTTGATTTTACACGATTTAACACACAAAGAACATAAACAACACGTGTAACAGCTGATTAACCAACACTGACCATGTGTCTTTGAATGCACCACGCTCTCATGAACCTCTCGTTACATCTTCCTACACATCAGATAGAAACGCTAAGAATGTTTGAACATCATGAGGAGGCAGGAAGGATGTAGGACAAGAAAAGGAAATGAAGGATGTAGGAGGGGACTGAAGTGTTGTGTTGTTTTGTGTATTTCATGTGTTGTGTAACTGAAGCAGGTTTTTGTGTGTTTGCGAGGCTGTGATGACATCAATGTCCTGTCAAATCCACGCCAACTTCCATATGTCAACATTTCCCTGCTGTGAAGCTGATTGGCTGAGCTGTGATGTCACTGTGATGTCAGACCTCCATGCCGTCTGGTTTGGGGTTTGTAGAGATCCACAGGTTTGATTGGTCGACAGCAGTCTTTGTTTGAGGAGAGCTGAGGGGACAGACCAGCATCAGTGTTTCCATGGTTACAAAGACCAGCATTAGTGTTTCCATGGTTACAAAGACCAGCATTAGTGTTTCCATGGTTACAAAGACCAGCATCAGTGTAAACGTGGTTACAAAGACCAGCATCGGTGTTTCCATGGTTACAAAGGCCAGCATCGGTGTTTCCATGGTTACAAAGGCCAGCATTGGTGTTTCCATGGTTACAAAGGCCAGCATCGGTGTTTGACCATGGTTTTAAAGACCAGCATCAGTGTTTTCATGGTTACAAAGACCAGCATCAGTGTTTCCATGGTTACAAAGACCAGCATCAGTGTAAACGTGGTTACAAAGACCAGCATCGGTGTTTCCATGGTTACAAAGACCAGCATCAGTGTTTCCATGGTTACAAAGGCCAGCATCGGTGTTTGACCATGGTTTTAAAGACCAGCATCAGTGTTTTCATGGTTACAAAGACCAGCATTAGTGTTTCCATGGTTACAAAGACCAGCATCAGTGTAAACGTGGTTACAAAGACCAGCATCGGTGTTTCCATGGTTACAAAGCCAGCATCAGTGTTTCATGGTTACAAAGACCAGCATCAGTGTTTCCATGGTTACAAAGACCAGCATCAGTGTTTCCATGGTTACAAAGACCAGCATCAGTGTTTCCATGGTAACAAATACCAGCATCAGTGTTTCCATGGTTGCAAAGACCAGCATTACTGTTTCCATGGTTACAAAGACCAGCATCAGTGTAAACATGGTTACAAAGACCAGCATCAGTGTCACCATGGTTACAAAGACCAGCATTACTGTTTCCATGGTTACAAAGACCAGCATCAGTGTCTCCATGGTTACAAAGACCAGCATCAGTGTAAACATGGTTACAAAGACCAGCATCAGTGTAACCATGGTTACAAAGACCAGCATCAGTGTAAACATGGTTACAAAGACCAGCATCAGTGTAAACATGGTTACAAAGACCAGCATCAGTGTAACCATGGTTACAAAGACCAGCATCAGTGTAAACATGGTTACAAAGACCAGCATATGTGTTTCCATGGTTACAAAGACCAGCATTACTGTTTCCATGGTTACAAAGACCAGCATCAGTGTAACCATGGTTACAAAGACCAGCATATGTGTTTCCATGGTTACAAAGACCAGCATTACTGTTTCTATGGTTATAAAGACCAGCATTACTGTTTCCATGGTTACAAAGACCAGCATCAGTGATAGTTACAGAGTGACATGCATCATTTGTGCAGATCTATAATTTGAAGATAACTGATTGATAATTATGTTTAACCACCATCGAGCCCTGTGATTGGTCCAAACCAGAAGCAGGATCTTCATCATCATCATCACTCTGACTCTGCAGACTGAACACAGACTGTCTGAGAGTTCAGATTCAGCAAGAAACACCTGAACTGATGCCAGGTACACACACACACACACACACACACACACACACACACACACACACACACACACACACACAACACACACACACACACACACACACACACAGTGTGTGCAGCAGGGCGTTGAGCCAGTGAGGCTGTAAATCAGCTCTTGTTAACTCGTCATGTGAGTGTTTGACCTGTCATAATCACTGAGTAA